TGGTTTATCAGAGCCTTGAAACGCATTTCTTCGATTCCACTGTGAAACATAGTTAAATAAACAGCTTTAGGTTAAAAATTTCGTAATATAGAGGCTTTCGATCAAGAATCAGACACAGCAGAGTGTGGCGGACCAATACTGCCCAAAATTATCAGTTGAAGTTTATGAATGTAGGCAATTAATGTAGAGTACCTCTTCTCAGAAGGGTTTTTTCCTATTACAAAGGAATTTTTTTACTACGTATAGTTTCCCGAGTAATAACAGACTTATATTTCAGGAGTAGATTTGTGAGGATTTGATTTATTTTCGAGTTTGACGACGGATTGATATCAGTTAGAGAACCATTGAAAACTAGCACTCTAGTACTGGACAGTTGTTTCATCCTAGTTTGGGATTCATTGCCCGTATGCACCCACCGCCACGTTTCGAATACAGGACCTTCCGGTTACAAGGTGAGTTCGTATACCATTCAGCCACTAAGACCCGATCCAGTGGCCAGTGCATGAATTCCAACTTCTACTATTTCGTGGTTTAGCGCGACCACTAACCAGTGTCATCGGTGGGACATCCATCCTCCCACCTGACTGGATGAACCTCACTAGTCACGACTTCTCACTAGAACTACAAGAAACTCCGTCCTGTAGCAAGTCACTAGCGAGCATCAGATTAAATTTTCAAGTTTTGTTTTGTAAGGATAAGACTTGATTTTCGAGTTTGACCATCGATTGATACCAGCTAGAGAACCGTTGAAAACCACTGACATACTGACTACATTTAACACATAATTTCTTATCCACATATCCACAGCCATATGTTAAAACTCTTTTACATGTATAGCTCTATGTACATTAGAGGAAGGTTAACTGAAAACTACAATTACCTTACAGGTCTTATTTTATTTTGAGGAATGAGAATATTGAATGGAAATAATGAGTCATTATCAACTTAGAATTCATAAAGCATTGAGTCGAGTCTAAGTGGCTGAATGATCTACGGACTTCGTTTGTCACGTGAAAGTTCTTGGTTCGAAACCCAGTTGGTGCGCACTCAAGTACTGATTTTCAATGGTTCTCTAACTGACATCAATCCATGATGAAACTTGAAAAACAACTATCTATAAAAAACAGAAAAAAGCAAGATTCACAACAACAAAAAAACGCTTACGCTTCATTTAATCTCTGTAAGCATTCTCTCCAATCTGATTGGTCCACCCTACAACGGGATAAATACATTTACAACCAATCAAAATTAACAGACATATTGCTTCAACCAATATCTCAACCGAAAGTTGTATACGCAAGAGGAAAAATAAAAAACATGAGCAAGGGAAGAAAGAAGTGAGAGAGGAGATAAACAAATTATATTACTAACATCATAAAAACACAGAATTTCTTTTCTCCCCTGATTATTATTATTATTACTTTATGTATTAATATTTCTGTTAAATACAAAAAGATAAAAAAGAAAACAGTAAAAGAGGGAAATATGGTAGAACGAATTCTCCACTGAAATGCTTCAGTTCACTTGGACAAGTTTTACAACCACGCGCGGTTGAACACTTTCACCTTCAAAAGTAAGAAAATAAAGAATGGATGAACGAATCAGCTGGCTAGTTAGCTAGCTAGCAGGCTAGCTAGATAGATAGATAGATAGACCGGAAAAGTTGCTCGGTTGCTTATGTCCTTCTTTCCTCTTGAAAAAAAGGATAGAAAGGTAGGCGATAACAGTGTTATAAGGCGTGCGAGCGCGCGCGAGAGAGAGATAAACTAAAGAAGGATGGATATTCAGAAATCCACTGAAAAAGCACAAGAGTTAACAGGCTACACAACGCACTGACGACTGACTGACTGATTGAATGAGCGAGCGAGTGAGTGAGTGAGTGAAGCATATGAAAGAAGTAATCTATCCATTCAGTCTGTTGGAAACACAGAAAGGGAGAAAAAGAGACAGAGAGAGAGAGAGAGAAAACTCACCCTTTTTCTTAAAGACAAGTAATATGCATCTATGTATTTTGAAGAAGAGTAAAGTTAACGCCTTATCGAATATAATATAAATGTATTTATATTGCCTTTCTTTATTCAACTGACCGAATAAACACGAATGAAAAATATTCACTTATAGGCATATATATGTGTAGCTTTTTTCTCTTCTTCTCTGTTCAACTGAGTCTTTTATTCTTCATTTGCCTGACCGAATTCTGAATCCGTCTGTGAAATTCACATTACCATTATCGTCACAACCATCATCACCATCATCCTCATAATCGTCATTATCTAATCATCGTTTTTATTATCCCTTAATACAGTCAATGAATTTTACCACAAAAAGAATTCCTTTAATTACACTAATCATAATATACTTCAATTGATTACTCAATACAATGAAACGAAACAGTGATTGAAAATCAAACAGACCACAAAAAGAGAAATAAAAAAAACAGCATACATAGCATACATAATTGCCCATGTCACCGTATACTAAATGTCTTGTGTGCTTTTTTCAAAATTAAAAAAGAAAAGACTATTAACTTCAGGAATATTACCTATAAACGTGATGTTTTATTTAAACATTTTGATTTAGCTTTTTTGCACAAAATACTTGACAGAAGTTTTTCAAATTGTTCTACTGACGACTTATATGTATAGTGCTCACCCATGCACACAGCTATCCACACTCACGCACATACACACTCATACGTAATACCAAATTAAACAACTTATACATACAGGAAGATAAACAATTCATTGGAAACAAAAAAAACGAGAAGTACTCATTCTAAGTGAACTGATTACAAATTAATTACAGCTGACTTCATTTATTGTGTATCAAGCGTAATAGTATACATTTCCCATACTCATATACGCATAAACTGCATATAAATACATTAGAATACAACTAAAGCAAAGGTAAGTTTGTGTCAATACTATTCTATTTAGTGTACTAAGATATAGTTACCTTTAAATCAACTTATTCATTTAATCAGTTAGTTAGTTAGTTAGTTAGTTAGTTAGTTAGTTATTTAGTTAGTTAGTTAGTTAGTTAGTTAGTTAGTTAGTTAGTTAGTTAGTTAGTTAGTTAGTTAGTTAGTTAGTTAGTTAGTTAGTTAGTTAGTTAGTTAGTTAGTTAGTTAGTTAGTTAGTTAGTTAGTTAGTTAGTTAGTTAGTTAGTTAGTTAGTTAGTTAGTTAGTTAGTTAGTTAGTTAGTTAGTTAGTTAGTTAGTTAGTTAGTTAGTTAGTTAGTTAGTTAGTTAGTTAGTTAGTTAGTTAGTTAGTTAGTTAGTTAGTTAGTTAGTTAGTTAGTTAGTTAGTTAGTTAGTTAGTTAGTTAGTTAGTTAGTTAGTTAGTTAGTTAGTTAGTTAGTTAGTTAGTTAGTTAGTTAGTTAGTTAGTTAGTTAGTTAGTTAGTTAGTTAGTTAGTTAGTTAGTTAGTTAGTTAGTTAGTTAGTTAGTTAGTTAGTTAGTTAGTTAGTTAGTTAGTTAGTTAGTTAGTTAGTTAGTTAGTTAGTTAGTTAGTTAGTTAGTTAGTTAGTTAGTTAGTTAGTTAGTTAGTTAGTTAGTTAGTTAGTTAGTTAGTTAGTTAGTTAGTTAATTTAACCAAACACAGAAATGTGGATATGATCATTGAAATTATTTTTAGAGCAATTTTGAAGTGCAAAAGCAGATCACTGAGACTAATTTTTATTTAGTATATTCCACTCAACACTGTTGCAAATAACTTTATTGTTTAATTAATGAATGACAGTTTTATATATATATATATAGCATATTCTCAAAGTTATACACTTTATAAGACAATAAGTGGACAATCAATTTTATTAATGGTAAATAGAAATGAAATCCACGGTGAGCACTTCGTGCTACTTGGGTCTCGTCACCTGCATTCCCAGTTACTGATCTTGTTCCTACTAGGACTGAAACATTATCCACTAGGACATGGGGGTTACGACATCCAGTTGAAATCTATTTTTCTTCAGCAGTTAACGCATGAAAAAATCGTAATCCAAATTAATCGAGCTTATTTAAGTGGTAAATATTTGCATAAGTTATATAAGAAATTCAACCTAAGTGAATCTCACAACGCGCATTTCAAAATGAGCATCAGCAAATATGAGTTTTCTGAAGGCTGCGGATATTGCCAGTTGATAAGTATCAGGGCACACTAATGCATACATATATTATTAAGTATTGAGACGAATTCTCTTTTTAATTACAGATTGAACGATTTATTACTCAAGAGATTTGGTTATTTCTCTTAAGAATGATAAATAAGAGATAGTATTGCTGAACGAATTGTTACCAAAATATGTGGATATAAAGCAAGGCAATATTCTGCATTATTCTACATTCCACTAAGTATTTTATTGCTTCAGTGTCACCTGACAAGAAGTTACAATGTCGGCAGAATGAGGTGAAATACTGTATTTGTTTTTAAACAGAGATTCATTAGCTCATTAATAATTTAATATTAAACCACTAGAATAAAAACTTCTAAATTTAATTTTGACGGTTCAATAATTGATACAACTTGCATGATTCTACTGATAGTTATCTGAGACCTTAGTGAATAGCACTAAAGCAATTATTAAATTCTCGCGTCTGAAGTGGTTCAGTGGACAAAGCGTTGGCGTTTGAAACGGCAGGTACTGGGTTTGAGCCTCAGTGTGAACACCATCACTCACTGAGGAAAGCAGGTACATCCAGTTGATATGACCCAGCTAGGACAAAATGTGTCTCCTAGATTCTACTACTAAGCATTATCTACTAAATTAGCACTCGAAGAAATTGGCTCAAGAGATTCATCTCACTGCTAATGCATATCTGCATTCTATAAATATTCTAATTTTTTATGTTTTCACACCTATCCACTTTCTGTTTGCTATCTCCACTGGAGAATTAAGACATGTAATTAATTATTTATTGTATTTTATTGTCTTTTAATAGTCATTTTTGTTTGTAACTGCTTATCTTTTTATATTGTTATTGTTCAGGTGTTCAATGATCAATGGGTTCAATAAATGATGGGAATGATTTAGGCGAAGAAGGTTCAAAAAGAAAATTAAAAAGAGGTAAGCATATCATCTCCATTCAATGAACACTATTCATTATTATGATTAATTTACACTGTTATTATTAAATAATTAATGTTATTGAATGTTTGGAGGCAATCGGCAGGAATTCCAGCTTGACCTAGGTTTCGTGCTAGTTGGCACTCTGCAGTCAGCAAAGTTTACCTGTAACCTTGAAAGAAATCATGTCCCTTCTAAGATTCGAACCTGCATTACTCAGTGCTGCAGTCAGAGACGTTACCATTGACCCATTCGGGCTCTCAACTGACCTCCCGTAGGTCCAGTAACTAGTATCCAATCGAAGTAATTAATGTCCTTTTCTGTTATTATTTGAAGAAAGTAAGAAGGAATATATGTAGGGACTTAATAGCGAGCTCGACAACGGTACAGAATATCAGAATAAAGATCTGAGTTTATGAAATAATATTGTAACTGTATATTATGAAAAGTACAGTTAACGAGTTATATAAATTAATGGTTACTTGGTGATGTAGTTAAAGTTCGCTGCTACAAATTATTAATGCAATCCACAGAAGCGTTCACTGCTAAAGTAGTGTCTACTAGTAGAAGCTGTGCACCGGTTGTAGAATAGTCTTCAGATAAGGGTGAGAAGTTCCTGTAAAAATCCAGAGGACACAGCAAGGTTAGCAGTGAAACAAGTAGACAGTATGAACCGGTAAGAAGAAGCATCAAGCAGCACGCTATATATTTTTTTAATTGCACTTCAAAGTTATCGTTTTAAACAAAGGTTGTGTACTATGTTTCCACGTTCAACATCTAACAAAAAACTGTACAGTCATATTGTTCCAGACTCCACTTTTATTCGCAGGATAAAAAGAGCTATTTGTTATTTCACTACTTTTCTTTCAACTATTAACAGTCTAAAACAGTTACATAATTTATTATAAGATGTTTCTTTAACTCCTCTGCGTTCTGAGTGGAACATAGTGCTATATGATTGATGTTTGAAGTTTTGGTAGACGTGATGATATCGCTTTTACAGAATGGGGTTGCTGGCCTCACGTCAAACCTTCGCTGTTTACGGGGCTTAATAACAGGTAAGAGAGGTTAAGGAGTTTATAGACTGGGGATCGAATGTGAACCACATGTGGCATGATTGGTGAGGATCTACCAATGGACTACCGCTGGACTAAAGCGTTATCCACTAGGCCACTAGCGTCACAATACATAAGAGATGCTTCAAAGAGATTTTGAGGATTTACTTTTGTAAAAGTTATTCAGAGAAAACGTTCGCATAATATTCTAAGGTTCCATTCAACTTGATCTGTTGGATGTCATATTGTAAGAAATACTTAGCAATAAGTTTTGGAAAGTTTTTGGAAGACTTACCTTTACCCTATTTCTGTTGTGTACTGATTTTTGGAATTTAAAATCCAGAAGTATTATCTGCTTGCTCTATAGTCGATCTTCTGAATGGTGTGATATTAGTCAAACAGCTAATGTAGAAACCATTAGAAGACTGAAATGTTTCCTTTAAGTCAATTTAATTATTTAGTGAAAAAATAAGTTCGACTTATATATATAATAAAGTGTTGAACTAATAAAATAAAATGGAACGTTATATTACGCCTATTTCTTACACCTTTTGAACTAGCTGTTATTGATCTTTCTTGGAAAGTGATCATTTGGAATAGATGCTTCAATTATGACTTTGAAGTCAATCTTATCAATGTTAGAGACAGATGGTAGCTGGCATTGGAATCTAAGACACCCATTTCATCCTACTGGAGATGCATTAGATTTCGTATATGAGATATTCTGCCCTGTGTTCGAGACTCACTGGAAATATCATCAATCTTCAGGATGCAGGTGCATACAACTGCGAAGTATGAAGTAGTGTAGAATGAGTTACATACATCACCTTGTTTTCAAATTGAAATCTTTCAGAATAGTCCGGATTGAGGAGATTTATTGGTCAACATCTCTCAGATAATTAAATATGTTTATCTGAGCACGGTTACTCTAGAATTTGGAACAAAGTGAGCTAAACAACAGTTCCATGTTTGTGCCATTTGTCTTCTGTCTGGTGAGCGATCTTCGATAATCCATGTAGGTTAGTAATGTGAAGTCTAAAGACTTTTGCACACACTGGACATCATTATGAACATTAGAGCGACAACAGCAGTATTCAATGAACACTAATTTTAAGGTTACCAAATTTTTGTTAAAGACGGTGTTGGTATGTAAATAAAAAATAGTCTCTAAACATATTGTCACATTGTTTTATAGTTCTAAAAACTAACTGCCACCTCTTTATTTTATATGTTTTCCAAGAAAAATTGCAGTAAATTTCCTATTTTATAAGTTCTTGATGGAGTACCGTCAGGGTGTTACATCACATGCCTACTACTGAAATCCAGAGACTGCTTTTTCAGATGAAATGCTTTTTGCTAACATTAAAGAAGATCACATGTACTACTAACTGATATGAGTGGTTGGAAGCCACTTGCATCACCTAGTAATGCCTGCTAGCCTGACCGAGATGACCTATGTAATGAGAGGTTGTTCCTTTTACTCTACGTAGACAGACTAGGCGAAAATGGCCGAATCAATTCAGATCACCGGATGATGACTAACTACTTGGTAAGACAGAATTCTTAACGAACCTCAGACAGCTAAACGGTGGAGAGATACTTAGACCACCTTGATCTGGCTGGTAAACACTAGTCAGTGTGTCGCTGGCCTCTAACTATTCAGACTAATCCTAATATATACCACTTAGCTATTTCTTTCACTTTCTTTATGATATTTATGATGTTGAGCAAGTTACATATTGTTATTTGCATACTGGATGTTTGTAAAAGACTTCGTAGTGGATTTGCACCTTGGGCTGAGTGATTTCTCCACACCTATCAGTTGCATTAAGGAAATGTACATATCTTCTTAGTTTCAAACCTGCAGACTTCAGCATCAGAAACTAAACACTTTGAAACTCAACGATCTTAACTCACTGTATTAGGAGAATGGCTTACGTCACAAGTGAAATCTATTTTGCAATAAGACTGAGGGGAGATTTCGATTTCAGTCTGAACCAACCATGTCTACTTCATTGTGGGTGGGAGACTATTTAACACTGAAGACTAAAAAGAAATAGTAGTCCGTCTGTAGTGAATGCTTAATGTAGTAGATGATTTTATGAAAATAGCATGGATGCAAGTGAGTCACTGCTAACACTACTCACACAACTATTGACATTACGTATACATCTAATACAACTACCATCGCAGTTACGATTTCTACCACAAATACTGCCCCTACTCTCAAAGAGCAAATATTTCACCCCATGCCACGTCGTAGTTTAATTCAAACCTTCCGCCTTCCTTGTTTACTCCAATAAACACTCACTTGAATTTACGCCTATCAATATGTAAAAGTTCTTTGCATCTTTTGCGTTACTAGTACGACTTAGTGCTTTTGGCCTCGAAGTTTCACTAACTGTGATGCTGTTTTTCTAAAGGTTGAGATTGCTAGCCTTCTTTCCTGAGCTTATTAGGCGAGTTTTAGGAGTGAATTGACCGAGAAACGAACCAGGACCGCGTTTGCTGTTGGGGGACATTCTACCATAGAAATATCGATGCACTTCAAAGGAAGCATATGTAAAATTTGTTCGCCGTTATTGTTTGTAATTTTCCTTAAGAAATTCCTAATTAATAGTTTTTTTAATCATATATATATATATTTGAAGTAACTTACAAGATACCATTATCAAGCGCTACGATCTCAGAAATATAGTAAATTTTCTTACCAACAAAAGGAATATTTCTAAAGATATGTCATTAGAACTGTAAATTATGGATAACAAATTGCGTAATGTAAAAAGCGCTAAACGGGTAAAAGGTAGGATAAAATTAATTAATTAAATTGAGTGACATAATTTATTTGACGGGGTTGAGTAGAATCCATTCAAATTGAACGAGAGTTAAGTCGACAGCAGTGGTAATAAAGTATTTAATTGGTGGATGGTGACTAGCAGTGGAATCCAGGTTACGAATTTCGTCCTATTTGGGACTCGTCATCTGGATGTACCTGCATTTCTCAGTGAGTAATGATGTTCCTACGAGGCTCGAACCCATTGCCCATAGTTTCAAATGCCAACGCTTTATCCACCAGACCATTTTGGTCACGAGAGCCACGGGTCATATTAATTTTAATTGAAATTGAGATTTTCCTATCGATTGATTGGACCGAAGTGCTCGGTCTCAGGATGACATGTCGGCTTCTTAGGCAGATGCCTCGACGATGTCTGGGCATTTAATTAGTATTTAATAAAGTAGTAGAAAATCAGTAGGGAGCCAGGTAAGGAAATAAAACAGTTAGAAAAGACAAAAAGCAAAAATTACATATCCGCTGTCAAGACAGATCAGTTCTATTGTAGGCTTAGTGACTGAACAAACTTCTTCTGTATGCAGAGTTCGAGATTTAACGTGTGAATCTTCATTGCTTCTACAGTTTGAAGACGCTTGACTCATACTCTCTTAGCGAGATTCTCGCCTAATCTGTAAGTGACTTTGAAGCTGGTTTGTGGGTTATCTTGGTGTCTAGATTCAATCAGGTGTTCGAGGATAGAGTTGTGGCGCAGGGATATTTTTTGAATAGTGAACGTTGGGTACGGCCGAGATACGTAGCTCCACACAAGCAGGTGAACTGATAGATACACAGTGATGAGGCCACAAGTGGTAGCTTATCCTTCACGTCCATGCGAACCATTGGTTTTGTCTTATTCCGACAATCTAAAAGTTGTGCAATCCAAAGTTGAAATAATTTCCCTACCTTTTTGCACAATAACTGACGTATATCTAGGAAAAGTAACAATTTCAACTCCCAGACAGTAGTGTTACTTCCTACACTGATAATATTTACCAGTTTAATGAGAGTTACTTAGATGCTAGACTATTTATAAAGCAGTAAGTAGTCAGTATATATTACATTTTAATAGGAATATAGCCTGACTGACACAGTGGTAGAGTGCTTGCCGACCA